GTGTAGTTAGCTGAGAAGTATCTGTTGAATAAGTTTACTATTTGTTTATCATTGGTTATAACTTGCCCTAATTCATTAATAATAGTTCGTGGTCCTGACTGTCGATGATTACTCATTAGTTTCTGAAACATCTGAGCTGTTAGTTCGGGGGATTCTAGTGCCCGATGTTCTGCTGCTATGGTCTTTTGTGTTTCCATTTTCGTGACTAGGTCGTGAATTTCCCTAATTCGTCGAAGTGTGGAAAAATAACTCACAGAGGGGTCGCGTAGCTGTTTTTGTAGCTTTTTTAGTTTAGTTGAAAGGAAGTTCGGGATTGGTGATTTCTTATACGGTTGATTAAGTGGTTGATTAAGTGGTAACTCTTAATTATATCATTAGAAACCCCTGTTTTGCATTGGTTTCTATATCCATCGCTAGCCTTCCCCCATAGCGACAATTTTCGCGGTTTTTGATGTCATCTCCCGCATTTAGACCTCATGAGGTCTGTCGACGCTCACGGCGGAACCCTAAGTATTCACCGTCTACTAGTAGTTCGGTCGTACCTCCCTTCCCCACTGCTCGGCTGAGCTCGAAGCGTGCTGTGACCGATCGCATCTGGGTTCCTCTCGTCTGGCCTCTTTGACGCGGCGTATCAATCCGGCCCAGACGATCTCAATTGTGAATCCCGTATACAATGCCATATGCAAGCCAGTCCTGTCTGACCCACATTCGTACCCATCAAGGCTGACATTTATTGCTACCCTGACGATGACCGACAACATTCCGTTATATACCGCCACATACAGGCCAGACCTGCTCGCTTTTTTCTGTCATTATTTTTATTGAGGGTTTTTTTCTCCTGTAAAATTAATCCAATCATTTTTAACTTATTGTAAGGAGATTTCTTTCACCCCTCAATCATCATGTTTCTCAATGGACTTCTAATTCAGAAACTATGAATTGCATTTTGTAAAGATTCGGCCTACCTCGTCTAAAACTCGCATGTAAATTTATTTTAACTTGCTTTGATGGGAACCCGACGGGTCTTTAATAAAAAGTATCTATCTATCTATCTATTAACACGCAGAAGATGGTGGTGATGCACCATCCGCCTCCCAACTCAGCCACAGCCCCCAACGTGCCGCCGCAAATCAGCGTGAACGGAACCCAACTGCAGGTGGTGGAGAACTTCCCGTACCTGGGCAGTACTCTCTCCCGCAACACAAAGATCGACGACAGAGTCGCCAACAGGATCTCGAAAGCCAGTCAAGCCTTCGGTCGCCTCCAAAGCACAGTTTGGAATCACCACGGTCTTCAGCTGAGCACGAAGCTGAAGAAGTACCAGGCCGTCATCCTGCCGACATTACTGTATGGAGCGGAGACTTGGATGGTGTACGCAAAGCAGGCACATCGTCTGAACCACTTCCACCTCAGTTGTCTTCGTCGCATCCTGAGGCTAAATTGGCAGGATCGAATCCCCGACATTGATGTGCTGGAACGGACGGGAATCCTCAACATCTACGCCATACTGAGGCAAATGCAGCTGCGCTGGAGCGGCCACCTGGTGCGCATGGACGACGAGCGATTACCCAAACGACTCTTCTACGGAGACGTCGCGACGGGTTCTCGTCGTCAAGGAGGCTGAATTCGCCGTTACAAGGATACTCTGAAGTCCTCCCTGAAATGCCTGCAAATCAACCCGACCAACTGGGAGGAGCTGGCACTCGATCGACCGACCTGGAGGAGGACAGTGAAGACAGGCGCTGCGATCTACGAATCAAACCGCATCGCTGCCGCCAAAGCGAAACGTGAAGCACGCAAATCACAACTTCGCCCAGTAAGCAACGCCACCGCACAACCGCTTTCAACGTGTCCTCGATGTCAACGGACATTCCGGGCTCGAATCGGACTTGTTGGACATCTTCGGATTAACTGCGCCTCTCGAACTGCACTAACCATCGTCCCCCCGCCCACCTCTTCCTCCTCCTCTCCGCCGCCAACTAACCCTGACAATTCTTCTGACCCACCACTTCCATCATCCTCCTCCTCCTCCTACTCGCCCACTGCTCCAACGGCGGCCGCTCAGGCGACTGTCCCACGCACAGCAACCGACACTACGACCACCTCCCCCGACTCCAGGGATGAGGATCAGGACTACACCTGCCCTCACTGCGACCGTACCTTCACCTCACACATCGGCCTGGTCGGTCACTTGCGAATCCATCGCACAGAGACTGGCGAACCAGTGCGTGAAGCACCAACCTACACCCACCGCATTCGCCCCCACTGCCCACACTGCCCTCGCACCTTCAGGCATCGCATGGGCCTTTTCGGCCACATGCACACCCACGAGAGCGGCCTTGACCGCACTCCTGACACACACACCACATCCAACACGACGGGCCACAAAACTGGTGGACGGTCTCAGGACTCTATCATACCCAGAAAGACTGATCCAGTTAAATTTGTTCCCCCTATCCTATAGAAGAATGAGGTGTGACCTGTTATGGACATTCCGCATTATCCACGGGCATGAATGTTCGCTCAAAACTGACGACTTTTTTGAATTCACGACCACGAGTCACCTGCGCGGTCACCCTTACAAAGTCAAGCGGGAGCGTACACGCCTAGACAATCGGAAGTTTTCCTTCAGCCAGCGTGCTGTTCGGCCATGGAACTCACTCCCAAGTGAAATAGTGACATCTGATACAATCGCTGTATTCAAAAGGCAGCTGGATCGTTTGATATTTGATAAACGACGACTTTCACAACAGGACTACCTAAGGCCAGCCATAAATTTCATTTCTTGATTTCATCCCTACTTAACACACCCCTGACTCTTAATGAGATGCCCCCTCTCAAACTATGCAAATGACTGCACTTTATGCTGATTGTATATAACTGCACTTAAAATTTCATGTGTACACTGAGAAGACCGCCTGCCGCACCCTTAGCAGTCCGGTATTGTGAAAGTTTCCCGTGAACAAATATGTTACTGACAAAATTTTAGTAAGATGTACATTTAACATTTATATTTTATGTACCGTTTTCAATAGGGTCATCAAGGGCATTGCCTATTACCCTAAAATACAATACAATACAACACATCCACCGTGCTTACCCCCACCCTCGTTCCATCCGTCCGCGCCACCACCACCGCCTCCTCTGTAGCTGACACTGACACCGCCGACTTCTCATGCCCACACTGTCCACGCACATTCACCGCACGCGTTGGCCTGGTCGGTCACTTGCAAATCCATCGCACAGAGACTGGCGAGCCAGTGCCTGGAGCACCCACCTATACCCACCAAGCTCGTCTCAACTGCCCACATTGTCCTCGCACTTTCAGGCATCGCACGGGCCTATTCGGCCACATGCGCATCCACGACGACCTGCGGTAGACAACCGCCGGCCACAACACACATTCACTCACTCCCTACCTCCTCCACCACCACCATCACCCCACCAGAAATCAACACTCACACACCTCATGCACGCAACTGCCACCTCCCACGCAAGTGGGAAGTCCACATCTCGACTCGGTCCCCATGCGGCTTCGGCTTCACGGGTGACTTGAGTCCGAGACTATCCCGACACGTCAAGCGTCGTGGATAGGAAGGTTGCTGATGGACGCCCGCTCTCGGCTCACGCAGTTCGTCGCGTTGTGTGTGTGTATTGTGTGGAGTGGCGGACTGGTGGGCTGGGAACGGGCTGAAACAGCACCTTCCACTGCACTCTCACGCAAGTGAGCGACACACCGTTCAACCCCCGTTGTGTGAAATCCTGGTGTTTGTGTGTGTATGGGGGGCCAGGTCGTGCCGTGGCGCGCGCAGTCATGATCAGTCGACCATGACAGCCACCGCGCCCATTCCCCACTCCAGTCTGCTGACCGACTCGGACAGCGGCTGGGGTGTGGGAATGGGAAGGGGGAGTGAGGTCGACGACTCAGCGCACTTTCTCCTCACTATAAACAATCTGACGCGCTTGAAGCTATCACGGTGCGCTAAAAGCCGTGGCTTGGAAGGATGACAACTGACGGGGTAACTTGGACCTCCTCCATGACCGAAGGCGGTCTGAGAGTCAGGCTGCAATGGCTCCTTTTTAATGTGGCCTTTATGGCACTCCCATCACAGTGTGGGATCCGAGCCAGGCGTTGGCGGCACGCCCAGGTGCGGCTTCGGCCGCGCCAGCCTCCAAATCTCTATCGCGTTGGTTGAAATCCTGGTTATTTGTTGTGTGGACCAGGGGGTGTGGTGGAACGCCAAGGTGAGGACCCGTCCGAGCCATCCACCTGCGGCCTCCCTCGTCTCCGGTCTTCTTGACTCTGTCTTGACACCGGGCTCGGGCGAGGGAGGAGGAGAGGGTGTAGGTAGATGTTACGCAAGTCTATCGGCACTATGAACCCCTGCGTAAGTCACCGTCCCTGCTCCCATTGCTGCTGCAACTGTGGGGCACACGGTGGACATCATCGAAACCGATTGTCGAACTGTCATCAGATGATTAGGTCTTAAAAATTATAACACAATTGTCATAATGACTGTGGAATGTTTGCCGTCTAATTGAAGTGACGTAAACGGGACAGGAGGCATTGTGAATTGCTCAGTTTTCCGCCGACATCACATGTTTATATATGTAAGTCTTAAATTTGTCGAATCAATGACCTACACCCAAATATTATTTTGTGCTAAATAAGTTGGATATCTGTCATGGATGTGAAATTGTCATAGCAAGACTCTGGCACCGTGGGCGTCTAACTGACGGTGAAAATAGACCGCGATTAGTTCAAAAATCACCGAGTGCATCAAGTAGTCACGAAAATGTTAGACGAAAATTGATCAGGTCCGTTATAAAGCAAGGGCGTATTACTGTCTGCCGCCCACTTGACACGTCGCTGACGAATATGCAGAGAACATTTACGAATATTGCACAGTGACAGATTAGATTTAAATCAACGTTTTCACGAGTTTGCTGAATCCTTTGACACAGCCAGAGTTCGGCATTGACAAGTTAAAGCTCAGGGTCAGAATGTAAGGCCAGGTGTGCTGTGAATAACCCTCTTAGTCGAGGTGATGGATAGACTGAATGCCCCCGATGACTGCGATGTCCATATCAATGCTAAAATTTTAGAAGGCCGATATTCGGAAATGAATGCTAACTTTAACCAAAAAAACTCTTTCCATGACACTATTTCCCATACACACGCAAATTTCGTAGTTTTTTAAAAGACACATAGTTCCGCACACAATTCCATGGTTTAGTTCAATTTAGTGGTACTTATCTGATCCCGATTATTTTTACCAAATGAAGTTGAGTACTTGGAATCCCCTACCACTGAATTTGACTCCGTTATCCAAACTACTTTTGCTTATGAGCATCGTAATTAACATAAAGTCGTGAAAGTGCTATTGACAGTTTATATGTAAAAAAAGGGTAGTGGAATAACGCTGAGCTCCTTTCCCTCTTTTGTCTTGAACCTAAAGGTCGCCTTATTCACTAAAACGCCATTTTGTATTCTATTAGTCCATTTTGACGAATCACGACGCCCCTTATATACCGCCTGTTTTGGAGTGGTGTGGGTCTGCTGCTGGTCTCGTGTTGATGTACTTGCCGCTCTTATTTCGAAATGTAGCTTCCGCTGAAGCCGCCATAAGTCAAGTCTGCGGTCGAGCTCTTCATCGCGCAGGTAACATGGTTATGCATACTTCCATCTATTTAGTCAGCTGTCTTGTGCCATGGCGACTACGAGCGACAGCCTCCGAAATCACCTGACGATATGTTCGTTTTCGTAATTTAAACCTAAATGAAAATGTAGAGTCCGTGTTACCTTCATCACCAAAGAAAAAGAGCGAATTGAAATCAATGGAAAAGTTGGGGACAATCTCTTATACCTCGCTCGGTTTCACAAAATCGACATGGAAGGGGCGTGCGAAGCGTCTTTGGCTTGCTCAACGTGTCACGTTTATGTGAATGAAAAGTTCTTTAATCGTTTGCCGCCTGCACTGGACGGAGAGGAAGATATGCTTGATCTTGCTGTTTTCCTCAAACCGAATTCACGTTTAGGTATGCTTATTTTTATGCTAAGTCGGATACGTAACCAACTGTGAGCACACGACCTAATCTTTTTGTCAAATCCCCGTCATTTGAGATTTTATACTTGGCTATACCCTCTGTAAATGGAGGATTATCATCCGTTTGTGATAGTCCAAAATTGGGAACTCCATGAATATGCGTTCAATTGCGCTGTTACCTTGTATAAATAATGACAGAGCAATCATATCCGGCCAGCAAATATTTCCACTTTCCTCCTTGCGTAGGTCGTATAGTTGGACTTCAAGGTTGGCGACGAAAATTTGCTGGACTGGTGATATTTTAACTTGTAAGTCAGTCGGGTTCTGTCGGCCATCACCCGAACTTGTTAAGTTGCTTTCAATCTTCACTGCAACGCGACTGGATCAGTTTAATGCCATGAAAGCCAAGCAGTGGTTTGCGGCGACGCTAGAAGCATGTTCTGATAGCAAACAGTCGGCTATACACGACGATCTCAAAAGTCTTTCATGATTGTCGCGTCAAAAACCAAGGTCAAAACAATCAACAAGGTGGTTGTTTGAAGATTGGACTGACCTACTCCGGCCGTTTCAGTCACCCAAAACGGACTAAAGCGATAGTTTTTCAACTAGTTAGTGCGGTTGCGTGTAGCATGTTTTACTCGCGCTGTTTCGTCCCTTGTGTTCGTGCAATGACTGAAACGCCAGCCATGTTACTACTATCGCTGCGGCCGTGCGTTCGTTGTTCGAGCATCAAGCAGTTCTCACACAATGCTTTATTTGCCTGTCCCATGTCCGCAATCGCACGGGGTGGTTGTTAGCGATGTTAACGGTGACTTAGTAAGCAACAAGCTAGCGGAACTCAGTGTCAACTGAATGATTTTAAGGCCGACGTCTGTGCAAGCCTTTTCGCTGTATTTGCTTTATCTCGCCATAAGCTGTGATCCAAGTCCGATTTCTATTCTTGGCGATATTTTCTCTCGCACATCAGCTAAGTTTAACTTTTTCTATGCGTCAAGCACTATATTTTAGCGGGAAGAATCATCTAACAATGTTTAGTAATATATTATTTCTAGAGTACAGAATACCTTTTGCCCGCCGCTGTTTCATGCAAAAGCATTTCCTTCTCAACTCCCCACTTCTCTTCATTATGCAGGTTGTCAAATAATTCTTTCCAAAGAGCTGGATGGTCTGGAAGTCGAACTACCTCCGGCAACACGAAATTTTTACGTCGATGGACACAAGCCAGAAGCACATTAAGACACTGTTATTCCTATGCTCTTGTATATACTCAGTCTTTCAGACAATAAACTGCCTTTCGTACTCTCCAGTTTTTCGTTGTCAGTCGGCCCTGTAGCTGTTTCGCTGCAAAATTGCTAATATTTTCTCTTGAATGCGTTCGATCTATGCACCTAGTCTTCGTTAATAGTGAATCCCGGAAGGCTTAAGATAAGAGGGCAATTTGGTTAGAAATTCTGTCGCCCCAGTGGAGATGGTCGTCTTTACTTGATTAACATTGTAAGAATCAGGGCCAACCTTTACCTAAGGCAGAATTGGGACACCACGGGAAGCCTACTTCATTCTCGACATTTAAATCTCGTGAACTACAGTTTATGTACTTTCTGTCTTCACACTGCCTTGGACACTTCGCAACAAAGGTGAGATGTCCACTGAAGTGCTCAGTCACCTCTTATGCGGCAATCGCATAAGCTGTCATCCACCGTTGGCGTTAGATGAAATGCTTTTAGTGCCCCTGTAAGTTTCGGGATCTGAGCTGCGGTCCCCTCACGGATAACCTTCGCTGTTTGAACTGTCCTAATTTGCTAATACACTTTCTTCCAACATCGCTACAGACATCAATCAACCGGCTATTTAATTGGTGGTCGTCCGGCCAGCAAGGTTGTTTACTTTTCATCCAGTCACAGGTTTCGTATTTGGGTTAATTACAGCAGACCGGTGTGTAGTGTCGAAGGGCATCTAAATGCACACCTTTCATTTGTGCCGAAAATTCCTCGTATAAGGCGGCTTGGTTTGGTAAGATTAGACAACTTAATACAGCTGTGGCTGTGAGCATATAAACGCGATCCCTGCAATCTGAGCCAAAGGAGAAGGCATTACAAAATGGTCGTATGGACTGGCTGCCCCCTTCTGCATTGTGAAAGTTGACTTTATCGTTACTAACTCGGCCGGGGTTGAACGGTTCTACACCGAAAGGACCTGGTACTTTAACTGATTCCACCAAATTGAAAGGATTCTGACGTGCAGTCGTCTGGCTGATGGGGTCTGTTGCCTGTCGGAACTCTTCCTGGGGACGCAACGAATGACGACACAGATGAACGGAGAAGTGGCTTCGTGAAAAGTATATGCGTAGGCTACTTGGAAGCATAGCTGGCCATTTTCGTGGTCCCCTCACAGGAATGCAGGAGAGTTGGAAACGTAACTGTACAGTCCTGTTGCAGAATTTACCTAACGGTGGCCTCCTTGCGAAGAAGGAGACACGGTTTTTCGAACAAGAGCTTTATTCGCTTGACGTTTCGGATTCACACTCAAATCTGCCATCAGATAATTATAGTGATTTGCACGCAGAATTAAGTCTCGCAGCCGCCGAATTTTGTTAGGTATGCAAGGGGCATACTGCAAAACCTCGGCTATTCAGTAGTTATTGTACCCCGTGCAATTATCTACGATGAATGCGGTAACCCCCTGTTTTGATAGGCATGTAGTGTCACAGCAACCTGTGCCATTCACTGTTTTTGTCAGATTCTGTTTTTAATGATGAGTTCGTGTGTGAGTCAGCAACATCAGGCGAATAATGCTCTTATTCCAACCCACACACCTCCTTCGCGACTACTTTCTGGGACTGGCCTCTTGGCTTCTGCCGTTGGTCATATCTTCGACACGTGGCCCAGCGATTGTGAACCATTGTCGGCAAGCGAAGGTAAAAGTCATGTCTATAGGGAATAGGTGACAGTCGTGTTGTTGAAGTAAAGACAAAGGACACGCAGAAGAATCTAATATAACTTGCCTCCGCAGAAATTAAAGCATTTTTTAACTGTCCTAAATCTTTGTTTAACAGGCATTCGGGGAAAGAGGGTAGTTGAAGACCACCTCGAGAAGCAGTACTCGGTCGAGTCGCTAAATCATATATCCTGCAGTGGGACGCGGACATTCGCACAAGATTCTTGTTCAAGCTCAGTAGCACAGAAAATACCAAAAGAATGTTTTGAAATTAGAAACGCTAGATGGAGCATCAATTTTATTGGCGAGAGCAGCCATCACTGTATCTGCACCAGAGTCTCCATCCTTTCCAAGGCACTGTATTTGTGAGGCACGACATTGTTCAACTGAGCGCGTTCTGATTGTTTGACCTCTGACCGCCAGCGTGGGCAAACCCCTCGCGGATTCACGGCGTCAGAATGTCGTGTACAGCCGGGTAGCATGCGAATTACTGACTCACACGCGTTTGGCAAACGAGACCTAACTTCTGTGTCGTGGTTTCCTGCCCCGCGGTATAATCAGAAATGCATATGGCGTAATCTTCGAAACCGAGACTAGCAGAGCTAATACACCGAGCAATCTCAGATCACCACTTAGTCCTAAACCGACTCTGTGGCACTTTCAGCGTCCCGACTACCGGGCTTGAGACCCCAGCTGCTGTTGAAACCACCAGGACGTCCTCAAGAACCAGACACCCCGTTAAAAGACGGGGTCGACCACACTCACTGAACGTACGAGGTACATTCCCCACCAGCTGGAGCTTTTGAGACAGCGCAGAACTTGGTGCGTCACTCTCCACGTCCGGTGTTCTCCCCCGGCGGAAAACCAGACGCCACAAAGTGGTCTTACTAGGCGCACGCGTGAATCAGCATCTAATGCGCGACCTGGCCATATACGGCATTCCGACGCTGACAGTCCGCGAGGCGTCTGCCCCGGCTGGCGGTCGGAGGTCAACCAATCGGAACGCGTCAGCTAGACAACACCGTGGCTGTCAACTGTGAGGTCGATGCACGTGCAGCAAAGCTGTTTTATTTAATGGTAAGGGGCGCTCACCGATCGTTCTTGCGGAACTCACTCGGTGAGCGTCCCCTACCATTGTATATTTCCGATCAAAACCGACAGGGCAACGGGCTCGTGGCCCAGTGGTTAGAGGCGTGAACTTCTAGCTAACGGGTCGCGAGTTCGAGCCTCGGGTGTTCCACACTTCGGGGTTGGGTATGACTGGCTGACGACGGCTAGTAAGCCAGAAATGGCCATTGCAGTCTCCCTTGCCTTTGTCGGTAATGCCATTCTGCTGTTTTATTTGTCGACCCTGGCTGTCTTCTGTTGTATATAATAACCGGCGGCCTATTACTTAAGACCGTGATAGGTTTTGGGATCATCCAGGCTAATTAAACACCTTGTCCTCCTGAAAAGGGTCTTTGTTTGAATGGGAACATTCATTAGAATGTACCCCTTATTGCCGATATTGGGACTACTCTGACAATCGTCTTTGGAAAAGTCAGAGAGGACGGCGGCAATCTTCATTCCTTGTTTAAAAAGTGATAAGAGGAGAAATTTTATGTTTTTTTTGCTGATCCACATGCCCTCCACCTCCCCATTCTTCCCATCCATGCAAAGAGACTGCTTTTCACAGCGTCCCCTCACCTTCCTGCATGCCTGAATTTTAGCTCACCGTTCATGACTGAGGTGTTAACCGCCTCAAAAAGTGACCTCGCCGCCGCCGATGATGATGACGTAAATCAGGCCTCCTGTCTGTGGCCACGTCTCATTGCCGGGGAGGTGGAGCACCTGAAGTCACTGGGCGATCCCCTGGGTCTTCTTCGGCCCGGTGTTGAACAATGCAAAACCGGGCCTGCAGACTACTTTTGTCGACTGACCGCATACCTGGAGGAGCCCCCCTCTGGACGGCCCACGTGCACTCCCGCCCTGCTTAGCCTTCGCAGTTTTGTCTCCGACCTGTCCAGCGGCCTGATTGAGTACAAAAGCCGTCGGAGGGCTCGTGCCTGTCGACTGCGCGGTAACGAGTTCTTCAAGTAAGTTATTTCCTGAAGAAGATGGCTCTCCGGAACAGGTTTATTTAAATGCTGACGTCTCAAAGAGCTTGGTTGGCTCTCCATTGTCAAAGCGTAAAATGCACTTAATCCATCAGAAATTTCAACTGGCATGCTGTGTTGGTCGGCCTCATGCTAATCTATTTTTCTCTCTTCTCGCTGCCTCGGCCTCTCGGGAGATGGTTGACGGGCGTTTTGCCTGTGTGCTCTGTGAGTCACCACTCCGTTGAGGGGAGCTGGTTGAACCTTTGTCGGGCGGTCGGTCTGGCGGTTCCTGTTCTTCGTTCTCACCGAGTAAACTCAGCGTCAGGCTATCTCCGTAGGGCGTTCCTAAGTCCGGTGTGGTTGTCTGGTTGTGAGCTTTACGATTGTGATGATGTAGGACTTTGTAAGCTGCAGGAAGGTCCTACCACAGAGGCTTGGGAGTGATTAATTGCAGGTGAAAGTGAGCACAGCTTTTTTTCCGAATGGATCAAAGTTTTTCAAGCTGTAAAACGAGGGAATTTTAAAACTTAAAGCGAGGAACAGATTTACTCGTTGCGGAGCAAAGGAACCTACAGAATCGTTTTCACTTAATACTTGCGGACTTTTGAGTGAATCTCGTGATTTACTCTGTTCGCGACGTGAACGGCGGCTTTATTGCTGACAACTCGGCCAAAGTCGGGCGCTGGCGTGAGCACATTGAACACCATCTCAACTTCGATATCCAACCTATCTCGCCCTTGCTTTCCTCTTCAGCGAAATTTCTTCCCTCTCCTACCTATGTAGTGCCATGCGACCTCCCCCCCTCTGAATGAGAGGTCGCCGATGTCATACGAAAGTTACGCGACATTAAGGCACCCGGAGAGGACGGTATACCCGCTGAAGTCTTCAAGTCTTGTGTCGACACTCTGGCGCCCTGGCTCCATGAGGTGATTGAACGAGCGTGGAGAGACGAGATTGTTCCTGATGACTGGGGATTAGGCATCCTTGTACCTATTCTCAAGAAGACAAAATACGAGAACTACCGCGGCATAAGTCTCATCGACGTTTCTGCGAGGACCTTCGCTATTGTCCTCCTCAGGAGGTTCCAGGCTGTGCGTGACTCAAGGACGAGGCCCAACCAAGCCGGATTTCGTGCTGGGCGTGGATGCGCAGACCAGATATTCACCCTTGGGCGCATTCTTGAATTTCGCCATAGCTACCAACAACCGACGGCCGTCTGCTTCA